TGCGTGCGCGATTTATCTAATTAATAATTATGTAGGCTATTAAGAGGATAGAGTAAGTCAGCTCAAATTCTAATTTCGTCCCCACTTGCCCGCGCGTCGTATGCTATGTACCGACATGTTTGTAATCACTAATACTGTAAGTAGAAAGGTCGTTTGACACTTATTTCATTAGGTTTATCATATTTATGCCTGTTTCTTAACGCCAAGCCAGCTGCTTCTTATTTTTATCACGGTTATTTCCCATTTTAATTTTACGTCGTACTGTTGCGTAATGTATATTCTGATCGTAAGCGACACAACTTCTCCCTTCAAAAGCCTAAGCGATACTAACGGGCGACAGGAATCAAGCTCAAGACGCCGATAGTTTAGGTAATTTCTTTTTACTGTGAATATAATGGTATTTTAAAAAAAGTAAATAACATAAGCACTGCTTTATAGTTAGTTCAGTTAGTATGCAAAGTTTCATGATCTTATTTAAAGTATTTTATGAATAACAGCGGTTTATTGTTTATTTTGGAGGTAACTTTGGATTTTTTTTTCTATCGAGAAAATTTTACGAAATCGTGTTTTCGTCTAACATAATCCTTAATATTAATCCTCAACTTTACCATATATTTATTTCAAAATTAATGCTGCAATATTTTCGGCATAACGAAGGATCTTGCTAAGCCATTTGACATTATATTTCCCCTTAAACGTCGACAAGCAGTCAACATCAAAGGAGTGCAGCTTCTGTACGTAGTACTTATTATTTATTCTGTGCCGGGAGGGCGATGTTTTTTGGCATTAAAAACCTGATGTCAACACTATCACCGGCGACCGCGTTCGGTGTGTCGCTGAACCCCTCACCCCGCGGGCTTTCATAGATGTTTGCAACGGGATATGCCTTACTGTCAATTTTATATTATGTTACGCTTCTATTTGCGACCTTCGAGAAAGATTTTTTTTTTGTAGTGTGTGTACAATCCGACTTTAGCTAAGCTATTTGTACGCCACAATTTCTGTCCTACATGGCAGTCGCGTACTGCGATTACCGTAGTGACTTATAGCAATTTTGGTAATCACGGGATCACCGTAGTGTTACATTGTATGAGCTTGGTCTGTTGGGATATTCTATTACCGCGTGCGAACGTGTTAATTGAATTTAAAATCAGCATTATCTTCTAATTAACTGTTGATTCAATCCAAAAAAAAAATAGGTCATGTGGAAAGAATGAGCGAGGAAAGAGTGATAAAGTAAATTTATGTTGCGGGAGTGAATCGCAGAGTCAGAAAGGGACGTCCTAGACGAAAATTTATCGACCAAATTAGCGATTTATTTAAAACGGGCCAAATTAGGAGTACCCTTAACCGACGGGCATGTATGCGTGGGTATATGGATGTGAAGGAGGCGAGAGAGGTCTGTCAGGATCGAGCGAAATGGAAGTCTGTTATCTCTGCCTACCCCTTTGGGTGAGAGGCGTGAGCGTTTATGTTATGTTTATGTCAATCCAATAGTAGCGTATTATGTATACTCATGTTTCAAATCACTCACTGTATAAGATTTTACTTAAAACAACAATAATTGTAGCCTGTACAAAGACTATAAAATGTATATTTTCTGTTTATGTGTTACTTACAGATTTAGAATGTTTTAGTGCAAATTTTTACTTGCATATAAAATATTTTCAGATATTTTTGACAACTTAATTTGTTAAAAATTTAATTAAGCTAAAGTTATAGCCTCTTTACGTCCCACTTCTGGGCACATGCCCTATCTCATCTCTGAGAGGTTTTTTGAGGGCAAGGAAATGACCATCGCGCTACCCCAATGCGTGTGACGAACTTCACGTCTTATATATAATATTTTTTTCTTATTTCTTAGACTTGCAGCCTTCCTCACGATGTTTTCCTTCACTGCCGAGCACGTGGTAAATAAGCACTTAAAATAGCAATTAACAATTTCATTGGTGCCGGCGGGGATCGAACTCGGGTTGCTCGCGTACTGTGATATTTACAGCAAACATCAGCCCCTGAGCTAGCTACCACGGCTCTTCTAAAAATTATTGTATGCAGAATTATTTCCTAGGTGTCAAAATAATTTAAGTATTTTTTTTTTACTTTGCAGAGTAAATTTGACCTGTTTGTACCATATTTGAAGACATTTAACTCCGACTCTTTTGATTATGACTCTCTCGCAAAAGCTGATTATGTGTTCATGAGATGGAAGGAACATTTTTTAGTGCCAGATCATACAATTAAAGACATAAATGGTGCTTCATTTGCTGGTTTCTATTATATATGTTTTCACAAATCTACTGCTACAATAGAGGGTTATTACTACCACAGAAGTTCTGAATGGTAAGGAATAAGTTTTGTAATAAGTTATTATTGTAAATAAAAGTTTTGTAATAAGTTAATATTGTAAAACTTTGAAGAGCATATTAAAATTATTATAGAGCGATTCTATATATTTATCATAAGATATTATATTAAGTATTGAATAATTTACAGGTATCAATCTTTGACATTAAGCCATGTTCCAGAACACAGCATTCAAATTTATGAATTCAGATGAAATCACAATATGGAATCATTTAAATTTGGATAGATACTTGTTTTAATAGTACTTATATATTTTAAGTGATAATTTCATAATATCTTCGAAAAGACAAAGTACCATTGTTAAGTTTGTGTCTTAACCAGAGGATTGCTTCATTAAATTATGTTTAATTACGTTCAGAACAAAGCAACTCAATAATTATTCTTGATACTCATAATGAAATGTATTTATACTGTTCTTGCATATACCTTAAAACTTGTCTGTTGTTTTATTATAAGTGATATATTAAAGTCACATTAATGCAAATTTTTTGTTATATATTTTGTATTACAACCAAGATGACTCAAGTATTTGCATTGTGATATTTTGTACAAAATATTTGCCTACTTGGCTTGGTTGATTTTAAATTCATAGGTTAGCAAAATATTAGTGACATTTGTAAATAAAAATGCTGATTTCCAAATTTTTTTGTTGTTTTTTTTTTGAATTATTTTATGCATGGTGCAGTCAGTAGAGACATATTAATACTTTTTTAAAATTAAAATTTTGCTGGAAGGACAAAGAAGTATATGCAGGGACAGATAATAAAATATTAGAACAAGATTATTAATAATTTCTAAAAATGAATAGTTCATACAGTATTTAGTAAAAAAATGTTTTTTTTTTCTAATAAAATGTCTTAATATAATGATTATGGACTTTCATTTAAAAGTAAAATAAAAATACGTTTATGTCATTTCATTTCAATCATTTTAATATAACATTGATATTTACATTAAAATACTGGCATTGATATATTTCTAATTATGTATTCATAAATATGCAGAAAAATTACATTAAAAATATATATATTTAAGGTGTCATATTCAAGGATTTTATATGATAAAAACCTTATCTATTTATACAGAATAGTTTTTAGTTATAATATTATCAATAAGCTTTAAAGTAGAAACTTGAAAATGCTTTACTTTTTGGGACTAATAACCAATTAACCGATTTTAAATTAATGTTTATACGTATTAGTTACTATATATGTGTGTGTATAGCCCCTGCTCAGTAATAAAAGCATTTCTATATTATGAAACTGACATCCAATTGAAGAAGTTACGAAAAGTTTAATATTGAAATATTTTTTTTATGCTAAAAATACTACTTTACTAACAAGTGACACACTGGTTTAAATATTTAATTTTAGAATTATTAGTGTTACACAGATAAATTCTATTAAATATTTTATTCAAATGTTAGTTTCATATGTGTAAATAATAAGATAATAATTTAATTCCACACTACATGATTCTAACCAACATCAAATAGTTCTGTATTCTTAAAATATATGGATACTGAAGTTATAGAAAAACATTTATCTAGATTCTAAAGATACATCTTATAAATATTAGTGTAATAAAATTGTATTAAGGTGTTATGATACTAAATGCTTAAACTAAACTTTGGTGGGATCATTTTATGGGTAATAGTTCGGTTATTTGTGTAGGTATAAGAAATCAATATTATTTACTAAAAGATCACATAAATATTTTGGTGTTGCTTGTTGCACTTTTATATAATTTATTAGAAATAAATGAATTAAATATTCAAAAAGTAACTGCAAACAATATGTTAAAAATTCATATAAATGTATTTTAATTGAAATTTATCTAACTTGGCAAGATTGTTTTTAAAGCAAATAAAAAATTACATAGACTACATGCAAATGTTGAACCATATTGTAACCATTCAAGAAACTGGAAGAAACAAGTAAAATTTTATAGTTGTTTTTGTGCTGCAGTTGATTTACTGGTGGGCTTTAAAATTTTTGAAATTCATTTTTGTTATTTTTAAATTATATCTATACGAAACAAGAATATACTTATCTATATCTACAATGAAAACGTAATATATAAAATAGGTTGCGTCCATCCACAGCTCTATCTACAGTAAGTACCTATATAATAATTCTTATAATTTTGATTGATATTCGAGGCAAGCCAGTGCCATTTATATTTGTACGTCATTAAAAGACGACACAAGATTTGCATTAGGTACTTTCACAACAACGAATATGAAGCATAAATATACATCGATAAAATAAACATTAAATTAATAATCATTGATACAACAATTTACATAATACAAAACAACGATAATACTTACAGAACAATTTAAATTTTAGTAGCAAAATAAAACGCTTATTCAGAAAATGTATTTACAAGAACTTAAACAACTAACAAAATAATTAACTATGACTGTAATATTTGGCTTTGAAATAAATAGGCTAATATATTGAAAGCTATGGACGAAGGTGAAACAAGGTTTTCTAATGTTGCCACAAAAATTAACGAATATTCATTTTAAACACCATTGTTTATTTAAGTATATTATTAAAACATTTTCCCATAGCTTCCATTATATGTCGTCGGGTAACATCAATTTTATCTAAGATGTTAAGGAAAGCAAACTATCTCTTCGTTATGCCTTCGCTGCTAAACCAATGTCTTAAACCAAGTAAACTGTATAGATCTTGGTTGTTAGCATGAGATCTTACTGGACTAGCATTATGTCGGGTTACTCTGTGTGGGTATCGATAAAGGCCAGAATAGCTTTCTTGCAGGCGTGGAGAGAGTTGAGCGTAATCCGAGTAAGGATAGCTGTGTGGTCGTAAATAGTTTTGGGAGTATGTATGATGATGACGCCTTGGATTTCCATGCATCGCATACACTCCACCATTACGTTTTTGGCCCGGCCAATAATCTTGTAAATGTTTAAATGGATAGTCAGGATGTGGAGGGCGTAAGTGCTGATTCGGCCATGAATATCTAAAGAAAAGGTTCTTTTTTGCATCATTAGTCGGCGGATTTTCGTTACTCGGGACTTTTTCGTGGGCTTGAACGGTTTCAGCTACAACAGAGTCTGTTGGTCTCGGTTTGTTTCGACGGTACTGAAGTTTTGTACGTGTGCCCAAAATGTTGTCATCCTTTGACGTGCCATTTTTATTTTTACTAAAGTTGTCGTCGGTAGTAACCTCGGCATACCTGCTTATTAGTTTAATAGCTTCACCGATATCTGAATAATCATGTTCTGGATTTAACTTGGAATTATCACTATCTTTTTGTAACATTTGTGAGCCAATTTGTGGAGTGGTATTATCAGCAGCGTTCGAATTGTTCATGGTAATTGCATCGCTGGATATGTTAAGAGCATTATTGTCCGTTAAGGAAGATATGTTCAAGTTTTTATTTTCAGGCTCTGCCTGATAAGTTTGCTGATTTTGAAAAGAAGTAATTACTGGATCAACGCTTACATGTCCAAATACCTCTTCTTTTTGTCCGACTTCCGTTGAATTTAAAGACTCCGTCTCACTCGAATGCATCATTGGACTGTCACGTTTGGGCTTTTCAGGGTAAGCTAGAGAATTTGTCAAAGCGTTATTATTCACAACATAAGTTCCTTTTGTCCCAATTGTATTGTTAGAGTCTTGCGATTGTTGGAGTTTTAATAGTTCTAATTCAGCTTCTATGCTTGCGTCATTGTTTTGTGTATTTTCTTTCTTGTCGATTTTCACATAATTGAGGTCCTGCCCCTGGAAAATAATGAAATATATTTAAGTAAACCTTATCGTTGCAAAGTTAGTAATGATGTTATAATGATATATTTGTGCGTATCTCTCTCTCTCTCTCTCCCTCTCTCTCTCTCTTTCTCTCTCTCTCTCTCTCTTAATTACTCACTCTACTGCTGAACATAGATTGCTACAAGGTCTGTAGCAATCTATATAACCTGTCCGCAAGTTTAATCAGGCTTAGTCTATCAATTGCCGGCCAATTGCCACTACTGCTTACTTACTGATTAGCTAAGATATGTTCTTGAAATTTCTCTCAAGAAGAGAGAAATTTCAAGTATAACCTTTCCATCGCACGCACGCACGAGTGACTTCTTTTTCAGACTTTCGATCAGTATTTAGAAAGGACCACATTTCAGTTCCGTAAAACATCACTGGACACACGCAATGCTTTTTTATAAAATAGGTATAACAAAAAAGCCTGAATACATAACAAAGAAACCTGATGCTTTGGCCCGTAAACATCTACATCTATTCTCAATTAAGACTCAAAGTGCAGAGTTGCTACCTGATGCCTCGTTTCCAGTAAAAAAGGTTCTCTGGATTTTTAGAATCACCATACCAACAGACACCATAGAAACAGTAGCATTGAGATCTGATGTGTTACATTAGAACTTTTTTCTAGGTGAACTGATTTTGATGATTCGTTTTTTTTATTTGAAAAATGGTGCTTCTCAAGTGGTCCCATATAAATTCGATCAAGATATAACCAGTAGTCTTTAATGCTTATTTAATTGACTTCGATTACATTGACGATGTTTTTATTTTATTAACATTGAAGTTGTTTGGACAAATTTTTTAATTTTACCACTTGTAATACCTACTAGTTGGGTAACACTACTGAGGTTGTATATCACGGTGCATAGGTCCTCCCGGGATTCCGCCCTAATATGACAATATAGTAAGCAATTTTTTTATTATATAGGAGTGGGTGATAAACGAGCACACAGTCCACCTAATGGTAAGTGGTTGCTGTGGCCCATAGACATAGATCTACATATATCTTCGATTACGAATCAAAATGCAGATGCGTTGTCACCTGCAAGAACTAAGATGGAATGCCTCGTTTACAATAAAAAGGGTCTCCGATTCTCTACACTCACCATACGAAACAGCAGCATCAAGCTACTATTTTACGCTGGTATTCTGTGAGATTGTGGTCCTTCCCCGGACGAGCCGATCCATTCGTGCTACAACTATACTATTAATATAACTGTACCATGGCTCTACCACGTAAAAAATAAAGCATACTGATTTATTTGCCATTTAATAAGTCTATTAGTGCGCAGTTACTACTTCGTAGTTAAATATAAAGTCTCCTATATACGTCCCACAGCGCAGCTCTATATCATGTAGTTTGTGCAAGCTTCTCTTTCTTCTCCTCAGCCCGTAAAAACCTACAGCTGGACATGGCCCTCTCATAATGTAGGGAGAATTTGCTGTAATCGTTAGACTTGGCAGGCGGATTGACGATGGGGGCACCAGAAATCACTTATGTTGTTATTTAGCGCCACCTATCGGAGGCCAGAAAAACTGATAATCCAGTAGTTGCCTTTTACGACACCCACGGGACGAATGTGGGCGATGATTTCTCTGCCGCCATCGTACGGTTAAAGTGAAACGTAAAAAGTTTATTTTTTTTGCAAAATTAGTGTCATGCCATCAGATCCTTAAAACTCGTCGGTATACGAATATTCGACATTAAATGAAACGAATTTTACAGATTTATCGCTTTTAATTGAACATTTTTTTATTTATTTCTGACGTTTCTGTAACAAACAGGCCTCGAGCCGATTTCATGAGTGTTATGTTTTTTGAGTACAGAATGAAAACAGTGAGCGAAAGATAGATCCTTTTAATAAATATCACGAGAGCATTTACCTTTTCTGTCTGATCCTGAGATTGTAATGGAGCAGCTTGCGCATCATATCCAATAGGAATAGACAGTTGAAGCGGTCCTGGCTCTTCGTCACCGTAGTCGTACTGCACACCGCCGCCACCAGGAGCAGATGTAAATAAAGCATTTAGGTGTTCCAGTAATATACGCTCGTGTTCGTCTTTGTCAACAGTCACAACCTGCAATAGAAAATTATGTTGTTGCTTTTAGTGATCCATCGTCGATTTTACGCTTGTAAAGATTTGCCACGAGTGCCACATTAGACAGAAAGATAAGACGCTACATATCTTAGTTTATACTTTCCGTCAATATTCACTACTACTACTTTCCGTCAATATACAAGCTAGTTTGTAAAATAAATTTTGAAAATATTTTGTGACCCTTGTGAATATTTTGTGAACATTGTAAAATTTATTTAAAAAAAAATCCCTCTGGGTTTCTTGCTGGTTCTTCCCAGGACACGAGGTCTTTTTTCGAATCAGTGGTAAAGAAAAATATTGACTTTCAATAAGAATTACTTGTAATCTATATTGAATAGAAAAGTATTCTATTCTATTCAGTTTTGTAAAATTTCGGTAAGACACCAAACAACTTTTTAGATAACCCCGTAATTTACATGATGGAATCAATTATAGGTATTAAGTGAAATATAAATTTTACTCGGAGTTAAGAGTTAATATGATTTACACGTTTTAATTCTTTTTTTCTGTCGACTGGTCAGTCTGTATTCACAGAATGAACTGTCAAATCTTAACTTTAACTGAAATCTGATCTGAAATCTTAACTTTTGAGAAATTAGAAATAACCAAATTTAAGTATTTAACCACAGTCAATGAAAGAAAAAAAATTACATTTTTATGTAACCACACAACAGCCGAATAGTGTCAGATTATAGTCATAATAATAATTCCCATAAGCTGTTATAACTTAGTAAAACTATGGTTGTAACTTTGTTTATCTATAAAAGTTTAGCTTAACGAAAAGTACCTAATTTGTGTTGTTGTCGAAAATTACCTGAACACAGCCATTCCGGTCAAGCCGCTGTCCTTTAGGGCATACGAGCGGTGTGATGAACAAAGATTTTGTGGTGATCCTTCGCGGTGGCGCATTTGGATTGCCACTTTCAGGGCTCTGAAGCCAAGATCGCCAGGCGAGTTCAGCGGCTTGACGGTCAAGAGTACGCGGCGGAGCTCGGGTGGTCGCTGCTGGCCCGGGGATTTCTGTTACCACTTGGACCTCAGGTTTAACCTCCCCTTGTACCTCCGCCTGAACCTCTGCCGCCTCGACCAGTGCACAGGACACCAGCAGCAACGCGGTCCACGTGTACCACATCGCAAACACCTGAAGAGAAAATAATTCATTATGATATAAGTGCCATATTTTTAATCGTTGGTTAACGTTTGACTAAGAAGTAGTGAAGAGTTTAGATGGTAAATACATTAATCTAGAAAATACCTATTTATTCTTGCGTTAAGGAATCGTAAATTGCAGTGGCCAGGAAAGTAAAAAGACTGACGAAGGTACCATCTTTACAGCTCTTCACAAGTCTACTGCTGAACAAAGGGCCCCAAGCGACCAAGGGTTCCCAAGAAACGCTACAAAACCCGACATTAAATTACCTGCTTCCATCGATTTCCTGCATGTCTTACCAGATCGTCACACCATCTAGTGAGGGGCCGCCCCGCACTTTAATTAACGGCTGACGTTCTAGAACCTTTCTTTCCCATAGGTTGTCGGTTCATCGACTTATATAGTCGGCCCATTTCCGCTTCAGCTTATCATCGATACGGATTTTATCACGCAGGGAAACTCTGAACATAGCCCTTTCAAAAACTTGCTGAGCGACCTTAAAGGCCTATATAAATTTTCGCTTCTGACGTGCAGTTCTACGACTGACAGTTTTTATGTGGTACAGTCATGCGCAGCTAAGTTATGGTTGCAGTATGAATGGGTTAGCTCGACCGAGGAAGAACCACGTTCTAACAGAATACCAGCGTAAAATATCAGCTCTGTCCTACTGCGTTTCGTATGCTGAGTGTAGAGAACCGGGGACCCCTTTTACTGGAAACGAGGCCTTCTGTCTTCCGTTTTACTTAAAGGGCTATAGAACCTCAGTTCAAATTCTAATTTCGTCCCCACTTCCCCGCGCGTCGTATGCTATGTATCGACGTGTTTGTAATCACTAATACTGTACGTAGATATGTCGTTAGATACTTATTAGGCTTATCATATTTATACCTATTTCTTTACGTCAACGCAGTCGCTTCTTATTTTTATTACGGTTATTTCCCATTTTAATTTTATGTCGTCCTGTTGCGTAATGTGAATTCTGATCGTAAGCGACACAACTTTTCCGTTCGTAAGTCGAAGCGAGACTGATCAAGCAGCAGGGAACATGGTTCAGGAGTTCAGGACGTCGAGTTTAGGTAATTTCTTTTTACAAAAACCGCGGTTTTTTTTAGTTTGGAGGTAACTGTTTTTTTTTATTGGGAAAATTTTACGGAATCGTGTTTTCGTCTAATATAGTACTTAACATTAATCCTCAATTTTACCATATATTTATTTCAAAATTAATGCTGCAATAATTTCGTTACAACGGAGGATCTTGCTAAGCCATTTGAGGTAGTATAGGCCCTTAATTTTTCACTATTGCCCCTTAAGCTTCTTATGACCTACAGTGAAGGACCACGGAACGATCCATATTGTCATCACTGGCAACACGCACTGGTTGTAAATATATGGACGTTACAAATGATATTTGTCTTGTACATGTTCACGCAAACATCTATCCGTTGGGTGACACGAATGAGGTCATTGAACGTAGTGCTAAGTTTCTCCAGTGATTCTGCCATAATGACTATATCGCCGGAAAATCAAAGGTCAATGATGTTCAAACCGTATTCTTTCCAGTCATGTAGTTTGAGAATGTCTTACTTTTACGGTGATGAGATACGCTTTAGTATTGGTAACTTAAGGAAGTATGGGTTAGTAGCCGTGGTCATGTCACCCACGTTGAACTAACAGGAACCTACATGGCTAGGTGGTGGAGCGCCAGCCCGAGTGGGTTCACTTCGGATGTGTGTTGGCGGACTGCGGCGATAGGGGTGTCCTCTCCCACTACTGCCGCAGCCGATTTGGAAAAGGAAGAGGAGTCTTGGTATGATGAAGCGCCACTCGCCCTAACCCCCGCGACTTTGGCGCAGCCGCTGAGGTTAGGAAGGCTAGTCTTTTCGAGTGCTTGTCTCAAAAAGCGTCATGATGACGCTTTTTGAGACAAGCACGTTAAGTGGTCTTTGAAGACCACTTAACGTGCTCTTTGGAAAATCTTATAGGCAAAGGCAAAAAATTAAGGTCATGATATCAAACTGTCTGAACGAATTAACTCAGAGTAGTAGGGACAGATGTTTCCAATGTCATTCTAATTGGTGTAGGTAAATTAGTTTTTTTTTCGGATTCTGTTGCATCACATTTATTTATTATTCTATTCAGTATGGTTTAAAATATGAAGTTGCCGTTTTGATGAAGCAGTCACTTTGAATTAAAATTAGTCATGCATGATCCAAGATTCGTGATAAAAACATGTTTACACAATCATTTTAAAATCCCATAATTTTATGATGTTATTGCTTGGTGTTATAGTTATTGCTTGGTCTATTGCTTGGCTTTTAGTTGTTTCTACATTAAATATTTCTGTTGAATATAGAGACCTCAAAAATTAAGGTAATTTTTGAATACGAGTTCCAACGTACTTCTAATTAAGTCCTCTTCAAGCGCGAAATATCAATTCTGCATTTGATGAGGATACAACTAACGAACGTGATGTGCTTTTTTGGTTTAATCCCAAAGAGGAAGACTGGAAACTAGATATACTTATTAATATAGGTTTTTTTAAGGATAGGTGCAAAACAAATAACATCTGAAATAAACTCTCTTAATTTATTTACATTTAAAAACAATTATAATTAACTATTAGTCGTGGTAGCTCAGATGTTTAGCACTCGCTGTAAATTTCACAATGCGCGAGCAAACCGGGTTCGATCGCCGCCGACACCAAAGAAATTGTTAATTGCAATTTTAAGTGCTGATTTACCACGTAATCGGCGATGAAGGAAAACACCGTGAAGAAAGTTGCATGTTTGAGAAATAAGGGAAAAAATTTGAAGACTTGTGAAGTTCGCCAACACGCATTGGGGTAGTGCCGCGGACAATTCCTTGCCCTAAAACTCTCTCAGATATGAGCGGAGGCCTGTTCCCAGGAGTGGGACGTATATAGGCTGTAACTTTAGCTGTAACTTTTAACTTAGCTATTTAACTTTTAAAACCAGTTTACGATAATTATTAAATAATCAAAAACTTACAAATTAGTGTCATCGTTTGACGTTAGTATTTCCCATCAATTCTTCTCTTTTGCACCAAATTAGTAAAATAAAAAAATCACCGATTTTTCCGGATCGATACGACTTAGGGACCTTCAAGAAAAGAGCTTATTCCTTTCTAAAAGGCCGGCAACGTACCTGCAATTAGTAGCAGTTTTTCATGGGCGGTGGTAGTCACTTACCATAAGCAAAGAATATAATGTACACTACGCGAAAAGAAACGACACTTAAGCATGTGTGCACGTAAAATCGCTTGCGGCTATGTGTGGGTGTCTGGATGTGCGCGGGGGCATGGAGAGGCGCGCGGGGCGTGGAACGGGCAGTCGCTGACTGCCCTGGCCGAGGGCTAGTAGTATACCGATATTTGTCAGCATTAGTTATGAATATATATATTCGTTAAGTGATATTATAATATTTCATTTAATATATGAATATTACTGATTTCTTAATACGACGGTTATACATATTATATTACTATTCTACATATATCTGTCTATATATCTATAAAAATTATACATGCTACGAATTTTTGCAATTGGTAGAAATAATAATGAAAATTATGAGAGTAGTCGAAAAATTCAAAAATATATAAGAGTAAATTAATTTTTAAAGGATAGTAGGTAATACTGATTATTGCGTACTGAAATACTAAGTGTTGGTTAATTATTTATGATAACCATTAACTGTCGTGCATATTTGGTTTTGTCGGAAGTTTTAATATTCCTCATTTGTAAAGATATTTAATAAAAGTTAATTTAAAATTGAACGTATCTTTCACTACACAAATACATACGTTTACATAATATATAACATATACCTACTATGTATCTTCTTTGGTAATAGTCTATAATAATCCATTTCGGTTCGATATCAACCCTAGCGTTACACGCTTCGACTCAAGGTCACCGGCGCTTAAGCTCTCACGTACAGGGAGTGTCACCGCTGTGCAATAAGGGGAGCCGTATGCTCGTTGCCACCTCTCCTATAAAAAAAATCATGTATGTCACACCTATGCCGATACTTGTTTGGAGCAATACGCTTGAAGTTATTGACGAGTTAAGGAAAATTGTCTGAACGAGGATATCCGCAGTAGAATCAGCGTATTGAAGCGGTAATGAAAAATCTACAACCAATAAGGAAGAAAGCTTTTTGAGTTCGGCCTGGTGGCGTTAAACGAAGTGTAGGATGGCCCCTCGCTTGATAAAAGATGAAGAAAATCGATGGATGCAGGTGGCTCAGGAGCGTGCTGTGTAGTGTACCTTGGGAGCCGGCCATGTTAAATTTTACTATTTATGGGATGTAATGATGATGTATAACGATGATGGTGGTACATCATCATTACATTACATTATTTTGTGCATAGATAATATTATTTTGAGATATTACAGAAGTGCATTTGTCATTAACATACGTGGTATAAAGTAGTACTTATGTTTATTATTATGTAAATGCGGAAGTAATAATACTGATGTAAACTGGGTGAATCCGGTATGAGATTGTGGTAGTAGGGAGAAAGACAGCTAGGTAAAATATAATTATTACAAAAGGCAAAATACAGAATAGTAAATGATAAATATGTTATTTATCCTCACTTTTTACTTTTTCGTATTTGCCTCGGGTCAAATAGCTTCAGTTTATGAATGTTACTAAATTCTTTTATTTTTTCCATTTTCAATCATATGGTTGCCCTTTTCCACTTTGCTAATCGTCTATAATTTACTTCATTATAGATTGAATAATTATAGGGACTACGTTTCATGAACCGAAAGTAAAAACTTAACTGAAAACTGAAAACAGGAAAAAAAATCAAATTTGAAATAGGTATCTAATATATAAAAGTTAATTTACAAGTTATTCATTGATTGATTTATAGAAAGAGATAGGTGATAGATCATTTAAGATCTAGAGCCGTTACTGTCAATTAGATCAAGGTTCGGCCTTATCCATTAGTTCAATAGCTCATCC